ACATCGAGAGAATTACAACACACGCTCCAACTAAATGGTTTACTCAGAGATCGAGAGACTTACAACACACGCTCCAACTGAATGGTTTATTCAGACATCGAGAGACTTACAACACACGCTCCAACTAAATGGTTTACTCAGAGATCGAGAGACTTACAACACACACTCCAACTAAATGGTTTACTCAGACATCGAGAGAATTACAACACACGCTCCAACTAAATGGTTTACTCAGAGATCGAGAGACTTACAACACACGCTCCAACTGAATGGTTTACTGAGACATCGAGAGACTTACAACACACGCTCCAACTGAATGGTTTACTCAGAGATCGAAAGACTTACAACACACACTCCAACTGAATGGTTTACTCAGAGATCGAGAGACTTACAACACACACACTCCAACTGAATGATTTACTCAGACATCGAGAGACTTAAAATACACGCTCCAACTAAATGGTTTACTCAGATATCGAGAGACTTACAACACACGCTCCAACTGAATGGTTTATTCAGACATCGAGAGACTTACAACACACGCTCCAACTGAATAGTTTACTCAGACATCGAGAGACTTACAACAGGAACAGGTGATAAATACACAATAAAAATATTATTTATAAAGTAACCTATAGAATATGAACAAATTATACCTTGGAGAAACGATAGGTGTCTTAACCCATTGACTGCTAGTCATACACTGTATACAGCACATTCACATTCAACTGCCCTATACAACAAATCAGCAGTTAATGAGTTAAACCAACTCTTGTCCCCCGGTGGGACAGAGTTAAGTTTATGGACTTATAACTCTAAAATACAAGGTTCGATTCTCCGCAGATGACACAACTGATAGCCAAATATGGCTTTGTTCAGAAAAACACACAAACTTAAATCAACTTAACAAAGGTGGCAGTGCAATTTCTGACTACTATATAAAAATGTAGACCGACATCTGACTGTCCTTTACAAATAGAAATCCTTGCTACAGTTAACCATTTCACATTTCAAGCTACAAATTAATCGCGACTCAAGATGGGCATTATGATTGTAGATCTTGTTCGTTTCCTTCCAGTTAACTTATTTTTTTCATATAAAGTTTTTATTATTTTAATTGCAACTTATTTTGTATTTATTTTATGTTCGGTATCTGTTTTTATTTCAATTTTCAAATGATTTTCACTATAAGTTTACGATACATACATTCGATGT